TCTATGAAATCTATGACACAAGGTGTGTCTGTGACACATTATATATAATACTAGTGAATTGCCCATCAAGAATGAGGGGGGGGGGGGGCAGGGACAGAGCACTGCCACCCTCCACCCTGCGCTGCCACCGCCTCCCAGGAGTGGGGGGAGCGGGGAGGCAGGGAGGCAAGCTTACCTCACCATCTCCTCTGTCCCCTCTGCCAGCATCCCATGCTGCTGCCACTTCCAAGGAGCAGGGCCAGGGGGGAGGGGGCAAGGCCAGTGATGCTGTCACCACCATCACGGTGGTGCTCTGCCATCCCACTCTGTCCCTGCCGTCCCCTCCATCCCCATCTACCACCACCCTGCACCACTGCCACCACCTCCAAGCTGGAGAGTGCCAAGAGTTTCCACACCTCCAGCCCTGTGACACCCCGCCACCCCCTGCATCTAGCTGTCTCTCTGAGGGTCTGTCTGTGCAGAGCACGCTGGTTGTTTCAATAAGCATTGTGATTGGCTGCTGAGGCAATGAATCAGAGTGCTTCAAGAGCATTATGGGCAGACAGATGGACTAAGCCCTCTCTCTATATAGAATAATATATATTGACGCACACACATTATATAAGATATAACAATATTGTGAATCATAGTATGAATGTGATAATAGTGTGTCCATGCATATACTCATATACACTCACACGTACACTATTTTCTCAATATTAATGTAATAGAGATAGGACAGAGACATGCTGCCCTGAGCAGGGGACTGGACAGATGACCTCATGAGGTTCCTTCCAGCCCTACTTTCATATAGTCCTATGCTTTTTTCAGCCTTATCTAGCAGCTAATAGACAGACACAGGTGACAACTGTATGGACAGTGTAATTTATCTAAAAATTTCTAATAATACAGTAACAATTAGCTTAAAGAAGTGAATTTAATGATTTGCAGACAGTGAAGGTTTGGCACCAATTAGATCCAGCGTATTAGTTGCTTAGGAAACAGAATTAAACAAAGCGTAAGGCATTAATATCTAGCTCTTATGACTGCATTGAGGATTATCTTGCTCTAATATTTTTTCTATTACATTCCTAAACTCTGGGTGTTTATGAGAATGGAACCTCCCATAACAGCTCAGATCCCCTGTTATATCAGGAAACTGTCATCACAACCAAACTGGGGGCCTGGGATAGAACAAGAGTAGCTGTGGTAACACAGGGCATGTGTTTTGAGTTGGCAATGTTAAATGCTCCATGCAATATGCTCTCAGATATATCCTTCCTAGCACAGACCTCTTTCTTTGTGCAATTCAGTACTGTGGCACCAATTATAGTGGCCCAGACCTCATTTAGATTGGCTTTCCCAATATTGATTTAAGATGAACTGTATACACTCAGCTAGTGGAAGGAGATAACAATATTTGCATTAAGCTTCAGAGGATAGCTCACCTGGGCAAGGTGCAAGTGAGCCAGGTTACAAGCATGCTTTAATGTTGTCCAGAGGGGTGCGCCTGATCATGATGAAGTCAATGGAAAAACTCCTATTGACTTAAATGAGGATAGGATCAAGTGCTGGTAAGTTGTACAGACTATATGGGGGATTCTAAATCTTAATATTGTCATGGCATTTTAGTTAAGGATATTTGAAAGAAAAGCTCCCATGTTACCCTTTGTTTCATTCCACTGTTCAAAAGGAATTGCAGTCAGTAATATGCAGAAGGGGGTAGTGATTTGCTGGGCCATGTATCAGGGCATCTGGGGCCAACTCTGATTACACACATAAACGCACCCCTGTGTGATTGTGACTTCACTGAAGTTTACTCTGGGTTTTTTACTAGCCTAAGTGAAATCTAAATGAAGTCTGTGGTTTCCGTTCTCAAGTCTCTTGTTGCTGGCTTGTAATGTGGCCCTGAAGAAATCACTCTACCCCTCCACTCCTCAGTTACTCCATCTGTGCATTGGGGATAACAGCGCCCACCTACAATTTCGATATATGATAGGTCATGTCTCTGAGCATGTTGCTTCTTTGCCAAGGATAAAACTCTGTGAGCTCCCTTTTCTGTTAGATAACCCTGGTATAGATGTAGGTGCCTAGTTCACTCAGCTGTCAGTGGTGAGTCCTTGGTTTAAGGCAGAGGGGTGCTAATTATGAACCAGGGGAGTAACCTCCATTTGGAGATACTGGAGCATCCTTTCTGAAATAGTACAGCTCATCTGTCTTGCTTGCTGTTAATTGATTGGAGAAGGACACTGAAGTCCTTGATGGCCTCTGGAAAGTAGCTGGCAGATCTTTCTGTCTGTACCTACAAGTCACACAGTATGCAAACATTTCTCCCCACCCCCACCTCCCAGTTCCTGGAGGGAATTAGCAAATGGAATCCGAAGGCTCATGGTGCCCCCTCCTGTTTCTGGCTGGGAAAAGTATTTTGTATCTCCAGCAAGGAGGAAGGGAAAGGCACACCTTATCCTGTGCAAACAAGCAACTCTGGTTTGGAAAAAAATAAGTTGGGCAGGATATGGGGAGGCCCTGGGTTGTTGCCCCAGGCACCTTCCCACGTAGCACACTGACTTGGGAGCAGTGGGCTCTGTTCTACTAAACATTGCACTGTCATTGATTTTCTTGCTGTTGTCCACTTGGATGACTCTCTCAGGGTGTATCAAGTCATCTCAGTGGTTTCTGGGCATGTGCTTGGGGTACTGGCAAAGTCAAAGGGGCTAATTGCCATATGGGTAAACATGGATGGCTTTTGTCCTTCAGCACAATCCATTGTGATATTATGTGTCTGTGTCATTATACCCACAAAGTCCAAGTGTGCCATATTGCAATTAAGTGTCAAGGCTCACAAACAGGGACCTACTAAATTCTCAATTTTGTGGATTCCACAAAAACTGGTGTTGCCCATAAAATCCAGGCAATGCCCACGAAATCAGTGGGAAAACACCTCCAAGAATTTACAGAAAAGAAAATGCTGGCTCCTTAGGAGCAGCAGCAGTCCTCAGTTTGCTGTGGCATCCCAGGAGGGCAGGGAAGGGGGGAAGAGGGTGCTGCCCACTCGAAGGGCTGTGGGCAAGATGACTGCCACTCCCACCCCTGGCTGCTGAATGGCTGCAAGGGCTGCCTGTCATATGGCCCTGCCCCTCTCCACCAATTGGCACTGGGGGCAGGTCCTTATGACAGGTAGACGCCACAATCAATCAGCAGTAAGGGGCAGGGTCACTGGGGCCTTTTGGCCAATCAGAGGCATGGGGGTGGAACCTGCCTCACTCTGCCTGTGAAATGGCTGCCTGGGCTTGCATTCTGCCTGAAAAATTGGGGCCCCCACAAATTAAGTAGGTCCTTACTCATTAAATATGAGAAGTTGTAAACCTCTCAAATTGCCTTTGAATGTCCAAATCTAACCTAGCTAGTGGTAAAAAAAAAATTCCTGTTGTTAAAGCTGTGTTTTTTCATGAGCGAATCAATTGCAAAAAAACCCAACCAAACTAGCACCATGTTCCCCGCCAGCACACACGAAGCCTGTGATATATTATAAAGATAGAGAACCCAGCAGTGGTGAAGCTGGCACAATCTGGTGCATAGACAGTCCTTTGTTTTTCATTGGGATTTTTTTCCCTTCTCTGCTTCTTTTTTCCTCTATAGTACCTCTGCTTTGATTTTTGTCTTTAACACTGCCTATTTATAAATATTTGTAAAGTAACTGGAAAAAAAGAATGCTAAGTACCTAGTTAGTAGGGCTATGCAACATTTCATTGAGTGTTTCGTTTCAAAGCTGTTTCAATGCATTTCAAGCTCGAAACAAGTGAAATCGAAACAAAGCAAAAAGAGTTGAAAGCTTCAAAACGAAATGAGGGCACTCGAAACGTTTAGAAAGTTTCGAAACGTTTTGAAGCAGCCTGGTGGCGGGAGGCAGGGGAGAGCCAGGGCTGTGCTCCGAGCAGCTCCCTAACTTCTCCACACTGAACTGGACTTTAGTTGAGTTGCCTCTGAAGCAAAACTCCACTTCCAGACCTCTCCTGGACTTTGACAATCGGCTACAAGTAGGGTTAAAAATCAAAACCTACATGCAGATCTGTATTTCAAAGAGACGTCAAAGTCTTTGCCATGAAAATAACCCAAACTCCAGATGCAAACAAATACACAAATGTTTCTGCAGGTGGGAAGCTGAACCTGAGTCCAAATTTTACCTCTCAGTTTTTTAACAAAATCACTCAGCGAGGCAGAAGAGTAATTTAACTAAGGTTACAAAAAGAAATGTGTAACAGGCAATAGGCAACTAGACTGAGCTGCACATTTATCATTTGCTTTACACAAGTATTTTTATTTCTATAAGAAACACTAAGGGACCTCCATCCCTTTCTTAATGAGATCCGCGCAGTGACGGAAGAATGCAGAGGGGTATGTGATTAAGCAGGGGAGCAACCTGCTTCCCCGTCCAGTTGGCTCTTTATAGATGTGGAACTGGCTAGCAACAGTCTCTACTTGGTACCATGGATCCCTCTAGCAATAGCTGGTGTCTTACTCCACCAAATATCCCTTAGCTAATTGTCATTTCTCTATGCTCCTGTTGGCTTTTCATATTCTAACCTGGCATCCTTTCAGCCATAGCCAGAATAATGGCCTGAGCTCAAGGTGATTATAAAACACACCTGTAGCAGAACGGTAGTGCTGACCTTCACTTTGGAGGGGTGCAAATAGTTATACAAAACACTACAGAGTTGGGGGTTGGGGTCCAGGTCTCTCTTGTGAAAGCCTTACTTTCAAGAAAATGCTTTGATTCTTATGCCTTTATTGAGGTGGATAAAATATCTGCATTAAGAAGGAAAAAAAAATCTGCAATGATTCTGGTGCTTCTGTTTTTTTTCTTATCATAGGACATTCTTTGAAATCATCTGTGCTTGACCAGTCCTCAATTCTCTACCCCTTTTCACACAGCTTTATCATGCTCCTCTGAGAGCCTGACAGCCAATTAGGAGATCCACTACCTTTCACTCTTGCTGAATTCTCTTGCTCTGCAGTGCTGACTCAACACACAATTACCTGGGCCCTTCTGATTATGGAGCTCAGTGGGGCAGAAATCAGAAAAGCAGCTGGAAATCCTTGCTGACAGTGGAATGGATGATGGGATGCAGGTGTTCCCGCTTGCTGGGTAGAACGAGCCCAAGTCCCTTGTGTTTCTCTAAGTCCTTTTCCAGTGCAGCTTATTGCAAGAGACATACAGCATTACCATTGGGCAGGTAAGTAGAAAAGTAATAAGAAATATACCGTGTCTAGGCACACTGTGAACACTGACCAATTTAATATTTTAAAGAGGGATTTTAACAATGTGGGGAAGATAGAAATAAAAGAAGCCTAAAGCAATTTCTTTCTCTTGCTGTATGTTCAATTCCCATTTCTATTATTGAGGATTTAATTTTGATAAAGAGCTCTATCCATCAAACTTCTACGGTTCCCTTTGTTTGAGTGATATGAAGTTATAATCTTTAGGGCAAAGTACTTTATTACACTAGACTATTGTGATACTTCAGCATGTAACAAATGTGTGGTTCATAGGTGCTTTATGGCACAGTTGATTTGGATATAAGTATGTGGGTATATGAAAGATTAATCATCAATAGGCTTTGGATGGTTTTCACCACTCGGGTGATATGAAGCAATTATGCGTTTGCTGAAACAGAAACAGACTTTGAAGGCAGACTTTCTAGGAAATGCTGAGTGCAAGGTACAGCCTTATACTGGGTAACTGCCATGCTTCTTTCTGAGGCTGTTGGTGATGCCGCTGATCAGAGAGACTGCAGTCAGCCTGTAAAATATACAGCTACCTTTCCATAGATAGATCCGGTTGAAAAGTGCAAGCATCTTCCCTGCCTCCTGACATGCATACAGAGCCAAAAACAGCACAGTTGCAATTCTACTATGAGACTTGCAGGACTGGCCAATGTTCAGGGCTTTTCTGCCGTAATGGAGGCATGCTCTCTGCACTGATTTGAAGCATAGCTACCTGGCCTACCTTTTAAAGCACGCAAGTATTACTACCAACGGAGCTTTGCTCTACGCTGCCTCTGACGTGAAGCAGTTCTTCTAAGGGACAGTCCAGCCGTAATGCTTTCCTATATCGAAGCATTTACAGTTTGAATGCTTAGCCATGAAATTATAAGGTGGTCCCTGCATGGAAGCATAATCCGCTAACGAGTGTTTGTTATGAATTCCGGAATGGCCCTAATCTACAAAGGGTGCAAGTGGAGCTGACTGAGATGTTTTTGACCACATGGTTTTCTATCAGGAAACGATGCTTTGTTTAAAATGCAAATGTTTCACAGGAGACCATCTAGTTCAGTGGAGTTTTGGACAGAAAATGTTCCAAACTGTTTCCAGAATGAAATGAAATATTTGTTTCAACTTCCTTACTACATTTGAACTGTTATGACGTTTTGACCTTGAGAGGATATTTTAGTGACGTAGTGACGTTGTTATTTGTTTTGGAGTAGCTATATTTTGGGATATCTGTTCTGTGCAATTTTTTGAGACTTCAGCTTTTGGAAGAAGACCCTCTCTTTTTAACATCAGAATTTCTTGTGGGCTAGATCTGCATCTGCAACAGCTCCAGTTCAGGCAGTTTTGGCCTTTCAGTTCAGGATGTAGTAGCTTATGCTTTTAGCAGTGGTGACATTCAGTTCAAGCCCAGTTGGTCAACATTTACGTTTATACACGTGCTCTGGGAGTGGTGGAGGTGGGGCTCTTTAATTAGAGTGGATCCGAGAGCTGCTTTAATTAAAGTGCCCAGAGCATCTTGTGTATCAGCGTCCTCATGCTGAAAAATGGTGGCGTGGTCATTTTAACTAAAGCTCGTCAAATAAGCTTTAGTTAAAGAGCCGCCACCTCCATTTTTCGGTGTGGGGACACCGATACATCAGACGCCAGAGTCTGCTGGAGCGCAGTAATTACCACGCTCCAACAGACTCAATTAATCGAATCTGCTCTGATGTGCTATAATTACAGTGTGTCAGAGCAGCCTCACGCCACATGTATAGGTGCCCTGTGGTGCTATCAGAGAACTTTTGGTTTAGGAATTGTATGAACTGACAAATTCTGGCACTTGGTCCCAATCTTTGCTCATCCAAAACCTTTCATCAAACTCAGTGTTTAGAGAACTCCTATAGACTGGTGTCGTCTCTAGCTTTTAAGGCAGGTGAAGTGGAAAATGATGGGTGCATTTTTGCAAAGGTCTTAAGAGCTCCGAGAAGAGCTGCAGCTGCAGTGACTCCCACATAGCTGGTGGACATTTGCATGATGCTGCCTGTTGCATTACTGCAGACTGTAGAAACTCCAGTCAACTGTCTGTTGTCCTGGTTGGTGGATGTACACTGAGCCAGAGACCTGGCTTGAGTCAGGTATGGAACCTCACTCTCCTGACTCCAGCAGACAGTGCTACAATTTGCACTAGCTATGGGTTTGGCCTGCGGTGTGTTACTATTTTGGGGAAGTCCCCATTGACTGTTATGCCTTAACGTAATGGAATCAGTGGAATAGCTTGTATTTTGGTGTCTGAGATCCAGCAGTGACAGACTGGAAGGAACAGGTGGAACACCCTTACATTTTATTGGGTCACTAACCTACAATAACTGTGAATAGGAAGAGGTGCATTGACTTACCTGCCTTTACGTTGGGTTTCTTTAACAATGGACAATACCCAAAGGACACAACACTCCTTGGAGCCCAAGTAGGCACACACACGGATTTCATTTCATGGCAGTGTTTTGATAAACCTCAAATGGAATTCAGAGCTATTATGGTTTAAATAAGCCCAGCTGGAAAATGAGCATGGACTCGCACTGTCGATAAAACAAAGCAGTCTCCTCTGTGCTGTGACAAGGCTTGCAAACAGATACACTGAGAACCTCTTTGCTAATATTAAACTGATATGGTCATTTTTATTCTCAAAAGGAGGCCGGTTATGAGATTTAAAAAGACCCATATATCATGCTGCCTCATTAATTTTCCATTTGGGCTCAGCTGTCAGAAGGATGCCATATTAAACTGCTGCCTGGAGTAGTCTACAGTGGCAGAGAAATGATGTTTGATACCCCTTGCAATTCACACAGTCCATATAAAAGGTCTCATTGATTTGCCGTCCCTATTATTTTCTGTCAGAGAACCCTACATGGCCTAATAGCACCTCTCCAAAACCTTGAAGGCCTATTTGAGGTTTCCATGGTGACAAAATAACCCATAATATTCCCTGACTACTTCAGTAAATGAAGGACACAACTGGGCCTTTGAAGAATAATAGATTTTTTTTTTTTAAAGAAAAGACACACTTGTGAGCTAAAAACGGGAGAAAAAAAAGATGAAAAAGATATTGCAAGGAAGAGATTTGGCTTGTAGCTCAAAAGGCTTTGTGTCAGCAAGTGCAGGAGGCACACTTGTTGGAAAATAGACCTTAAACCATCTGGTACCAAAATAAGCGAGCTACAGCCTTTGTGGCAGCTGGGATGCGGTAGCCATCTCTGTAATTGCTTTTACAACAGCAGTGCTACCTAATATTGAATTGGGTGACACGGAAAGATAGGCCCCACAAGAAAAACCTTATTCTGGAAACATTTCCTTCCAGAAAAATGTCAGCACGGTGCTCTATGCTCCCTAGGAATTTTCCAACAAAATCAGAGGAAGATATCTCCCCATTGTGTTCTCCCATCTTAGTGAGAGACCTGGGTCTCCATAGCATAGCAACATTGTTTGTCCAGAGGGCTCTCGTGAATGCATGTGTTGTGTGACTTCTTCAGGATGGTGCTGAACAAATGGCTCATCTTCTGGAAATGAACTTCCAGTACTTCCTTTGATGCTTCATCTTACTTTTGTATTTAGTCTGGAAGCTCTTTAGGGCAGAGACCATTACTTACTGTGCGCAAGTGCAGTGGGGCTATCATCCCAGCTGCATCCTGTAGGCATAAGTGCAACATGATATGCAGAAATGACCTGAGCCGGGTGCGGGCCTGGGGCAAATCAGCCTGTGCGGGGCCCTGCCCCCGGGCATGAGGAAGCCGGCAGCAGATTTGGCAGCAAGGGGGGGTGCCAAGCACCTGGCCATGCCGGATTCAGTGGCGGATCTGGCGGTGGCGCCGAGTGGCCGGATGTGAAGTTGGCAGCAGTGTGGAGTTGCCGTGGCTGCTCTGTCTGCCCAAAGTGTGGGCTGGGGCGGTTGCCCCGATTGCCCTCCCCCTCCCCTCCGGACAGCCCTAATGATATGCATAAGACTATTTAAAATGTGCTTTTTGCCTTGGAAAAATACCTCACAAGCAGTGTTCACAGCATGCTTCAAAGACAAAACTTTACGCTACGCAGAAGTCCAAGCAAAAAATTTTAATGAGAAAAGAGAACATTAAAAAGAAAAAAGTGCAACCCCCGTCCCCCTGCTCCCAACAAACCGTGATTTTTGGGCTTCATCAGTTAGAAGGGCCGGTTGGGCAAATACCAGGGAGTTCTACTTGGTTTTGTTAGGTAAACAGCCAAACCTCTGAACTGCGCAGGCCCCAGCGGGTTGGGTTATTGAGCTGGAAAATTAATGAGACGTGACATTCTCATGAGATTCCAGCGTTTCCTGCTTCTGGGCAGGCCAAAGGAAAGGCCCTGTTCCTGTATTGCAGCTCACGACCCTGGATGAAATGAGAACATTCAGGGAGAATGAAAATATAAATTTCATGTCGGACTCCCGAAATTCATAGACGGCTCTGCAACGCCTTTACAGCCGTTCCTCCGGAGTGGCCCAGTCCTGCGCCAGAAAGAACCAAGGCCTGGTACAACCGGTAATTGCCACTTCCTCTGTCTTCTGGTGTTTGCTCAGCTTTTACGGCTATTGGCCCGAGCTCAAATTAGCAGTGTAGTTTTATTTAAAAAGCCATGTGCACGACTGGCACCTTGCTTAATAGAGGGCTCCATTGAGGCAGCAATAATATGCCTCAGCATTAATAAAAAAAAGACAGCAGAGAAAAAGGAAGGAGGAACTAAGCCAGCAACGGCCTATAACCACGTTCTCTAAGATGAGCTACCGAGGGGTTGATGGCAAACTCTTGCATGGTCCCTCTCTTCTTGCATGTGAATAGCTTTGGCAGGGATGATTAAAGTCTCTGCTGCTTCCCCTCTAATGCGAACAAAGCCCTTTAGAGCCACATTCAAGCTTCCTTTTAGTGCAGTGTTTGGTTTCCTTTGGGACTGACCTTTTACTGCCCACAGCCCACCTCCATCCTGTTAGAATGCCTGCAGAGAGTTACTAAGTTAAACATAATAAATCCCAACGATAAATGATTACACAGGGCTTTTCACTAACAATCTTCTGTGGGGATATCAAGCTTGATAGAAGCATAAATCATCTAAAGAACATCTGCCTAATGAGGGGTAACCTGGAACTGCTTCTCTGAGCCTAAGTGTACCAGGGAAAAAAAGCATTGCAAGCAATTGAACTGTTTCCATTCCTGCCTACTGGGTGTGAGCTGGACTTCTGTGCATGGCTGCAAGCAGACCTCGCCCAGGCATCATGCCCTAACATGGTGGCATTCCTTGTTCCCTCGTGCACATGTGGATCCACTCGCTGCGCATGGGAGAATTGTGGGCTTAGTGTTGTGAACAGATGGAAAATGGGCAGGTACCAAGATCTTAGTCAAGGAGCAGGGTGGGCAGCCCACCCTCACCCCATGCACAGATCTGGGGGGTCATGCTCCCCCATGCTTGCCTGGGAGTGCATGCAGCAGCGGGAGCTGCCCTCCCCCTATCCCTACGGCCCCCGAAACAAGCTGGTTGCTGCTACATCCCATGCCCCACCCCACCTCAACTGGGCAGCACCTGTTGGTGCCCCTTTGCTTCAGTGCCCGGAGTGGTCACCCCCCCCCCCCCCCCCCTTGTCCCCTTCTTGCTATGGCACTGGGCTAGGGAAAGCCACTGACATCTGATGTCAGGGGGAAGGTACAAGGTTGCCTGAGCACCAGGAAGAGCTGAACAAAAGCTGTTAACCCAAGAGTCTGAACAGGCAAAGTGGAAGGCCAGGTTTGTCCTGCTGGGGGATTTGAGCAAAGGAATCTGGTAAATGCAGAAGTTGGAAGCCTGCCCAAGCTGAAATTTCTTAGGTGATGGCTTTTTTGTATAACTCCTCTCTCCTCCATTCACAGCTTTGGGTCTTCAGTAGCTCTCATGGCATGTATGTGTTCCTGTTGCTCTTCACAGCTAAGCTAAAGTACAGCTATAACTGGCTTTGGTTCAAGGAAAGGGGAATTGTTTCAGCATTGGGCATCATTCCAAGGGACTGAAAGGATCAGTTGATTGGTAATGTGATACGGAGTTTTTTCCTTTAAATTTCTGGTTCATATGCAGTCCCAGATAGTAGTGATTTAAACAGCAGTACTCTTTGGTAGTTGCTCCAGTGATTTAGCAGCAATACATTGGTGGATTCGGTCCAGTTCTTGGTGGCAAGTGTCCATATTGCAGCTGGTATTCACTAGCCCCTGCTGATATGCTCTGCAGACTTGGGCTTAGAACAGGAGCAGGAGAAGTCTTGGAGCAAAGTTATTTTTGCCACAGGCAGGTGGTTGCAAGACCTTAGGAGACCATCCAGCAATTCATCATTCACCTCCATAAATAAATAAAGAGTTATAGAACACATGGCTTGCCTTGTCACCTTTATGTCGAGCTTACTGCTGCGTGTTACTTCTCTTAGTGACTTAAGAGATGGCTCATGGGCTCTGACTGTTGTGATTAGAAGTGAGACCATGAGGTCAATACTAGTTCAGGTCTTTGCTTGTGTTGTTAAGGATGAAGTCAGTAGGAAGTAAATATTATTGACTGCTGTTTTCAGACAAAAATCAAGATTCATTGAGGTGAATCTGAGGTCAAGAGAAGTTCTTGGAGAGGAGGCGGCTGATAAATCCTAACCCTAAATAAACAATATTTATATCACAGTTGGTTTTAATGGTTGAATCTTGTTTACACTTAAAGGAAAAAAAAACAACTTGATATTAAAACTGTTAGGATATTCAAGTAGGACACCATATCATTTAAAGAACATTATGATCAAGTCAGTGACTGAGAGGAAGTATCAGTTTTTAGGACCAATTATCCCATTTCTTAATGTGTAGAGAGCGATAGTTAACCATGTTAGTCTGAAGTCAAGCAGGAGAGGTTAGGACAGATGCTATGCATAGACTGTTGCCTATGAAAGCTCATGCATCTCTGAGTTAGTCTCTTGGAGCCATCCTGCTCTGCCTTCCATCTAAAATCTTAGTGAGTTATAGGTCTTCAACCTACTCTTATTGAAGTAAGTAGGATTTTGTTCTTGCTTTCAATGCATGCAGATTATCTTCATATTTTAGTAAATGCCTGGTGGTCCCAATCAAGGACCTGAATCCCTTTATGTGAGGTGCTCTACAGGTAGAAAGCCAAAAGATATTCCCTGCCCCAAGGAATTTGCAATCCCATAAAAAGGATTAGTCTCAGTGGGCGCATCTACTCATGCATTACGGTGCTTTTCCTAATATGCATTAAATTTAGTACCTCTGGGTGTTTATACACGTGCGCTGGGAGTGGGGCGGGGGCACTTTAATTAGAGCATTCTGAGAGCCACTCTAATTAAAGCAGACTGAGAGCCACTCTAATTAAAGCACTGGGAGCATCTAGTGTATCAGTATCGCCATGCTTTAAAATGGTGGTGGGGGCACATTATCTAAAGCTCGTTGAATGAGCTTTAGATAAAGCACCCCCACTGCCATTTTGAAGTACAGGGATGCTGATACACGAGATGCAGAATGCTGCAGGAGCACAGTAATTGCCACATATCAGCAGACTTGATTAACTGAGTCTGCTCTGATGAGCTGGAATTGCAGTGTGTCAGAGCAGCCTCCCTGCTTGTGTATAGGCACCCTCCGATGTGAGGCACTAAACAAATGCACATTAGGGTGCCTTAGTGTGCAGTAACAAATGCACACATTTTTTTACTCCTTAACAAAAACACAAAAGTCTTCTTAAGTGACCGGGGGGCTGGGGGGGAATGAAACAAAGGGATTTTTAACAAGTATGAAACAATTATCCGGAACAACAAAATAGAAAATAAATTTGCACAACAGTATAAATATGGAAGAATAGAGTTTTCCTTCAGTTTGGTCTGTGGAATTAAATGGATGGAAAAAAAGAGAGGTACGTATACCCAATCTAGCCTTTCCGCCTTGAGTTTTTCCCTGCCTCCGACAAAGAGCATGCTCATGGAGAGGGGACTGAGGGGTACAGGTTATAGCTTTGCTAGCAGCATGCCACCTTGAAGGCAACAAAGTGATGCTTAATGGGCAGTAGCCTATTTTGCTATGCGTTAGCATAATAGCACAGTTTTTTTTACACTTTGATGCGCAGTAAAATGGGCTACTGCATATTAAAGTGTACATGTAGATGCACCCAGTGAGACCTGAGGGACTACTTGTGTCCCTCAAGAGTTTAGGATGGTCTTTTTACAGCAGATATTTGCTTGCAGCATGTCTTCTCAGTGAAGTCACCACCCTGTTAGTACTACAGAGTCAAAAATGATGATGACAATGAGCACTTTACATCATGTTTTTAACGGTGTCAGAAGAACAGGCTGTGTCCTTATTCCATGCCTCAAGCCCTTGTCAAATTTTGTTACTATGGTTCTGGATTTGTAGTGATGGCTTAACATTTGGAAGGAACAGGGATTATGCCTTGGGTACAAGGCTGAGTATTTAGCACTGTTTCTTGGGATAAGATAAGACTTGTATTTTAGAAGTCTCTGGTGACTCGCATCCTAGTGGCTGGTGACTTTTGAATGCCATCTTGACGGGCCATGATTATATATAAAAAGAGTATTTAGAGCATCCACGTCTTCTCTTTTGAGAATCAGTCTACATTACGAGGTCCTAAAATAGGGCATCCAAAAACTGAAGTGACCTACATGAATATGAAAACTTCAGCCTTTGCTCTCAGGTTTAGACCAAATGTAATCTGTTTTCCAGCTGACTGTGGGCATGTCTACACATGCGTTAATGCACCTTTTCTAATGCGCACTAAATTTAGTACTTCCAATGTAAAGTACTAGATTAATGTGATTAGGCTGTGCTTATGCACAGTAGTGCATTTGCACACTTATTTAGTGACACTTCATGTGCAATAGACTATTTTACTGTGCTTTAGCATAATGTCATCGTTTGTATGTCACGTTTTAATGTTCAGTAAAGTAGTCTAGTGTGCTTTAAAGTGCACGTGTAGATGTGCCCTGTGAGATGTACTTGGTGGGAGGTATGGCTTAGCCTTTGAGGAAGGGACAGATGTGGAAGAGTATTGCTTGGAGCAAGGTACTTGGCAGATATGAGTCTTATAACACAAGAACTGCATCTTTCTCCTATAGTTTAATGGGAGGCTGTAAATTAGATTTCAATATACTTGGTGATTGGATTATAAATTATTTAGGACAGTGTTCCCTTTTTGATATATGTGTGTGTGCAACACCCAGCTCCGTGTGGCCTTGGTTAGCCATTGAAACATATATACACCGTGTCCATACAAATAATCAAGGATATGGGGCTGGTATACGTTTGGTGTAATTTCCCTGAAGTCACTGAAGTGATGTTAGCTTACTCTGGTATTCTAACCCAAGCTCCATTTTCCACTGGAATTTCTTGCATGGAAGCCAGTTATAGCTGTAGTTGAAGGGCAGGATTTTCTAAGGCATTCAGCTTTGCCAAGCTCCATTCCTGTTGAAGTCAGTGGAGTTTTACCCATTACTTGATACAGACAGAAAGCCAAATAGTTTCGATTCAATTAGAGTGCTGCCTTAATATTGAGGTCTTTTTCTTCTCTTGGGTAAATAAGTCTTGCTCTACTGAAATGCGTGGAGTGATATTTATTGGCATTGGCTGAGGGCCTGCTCCTAAATCACCATGCTTTAGTGGTCCAAATAGAAATGTGTTAAAAACAAAACTATTTCTCTGTAAAGGCAACACAAATTATATCTTTCAATCACAGAGCCTCACCCCGATGGTCCCCTTTTGAGAAGAAATCGCCAAAGATATTCAGCCATCCATTAAAAAGTTTCATATCTATTGAAAGTCCACCTTTCTAGACTTAATAGCAGGAGGTAAGACAAAGAATTTAAATGCCCTGTATGCTCAAGGTGTGACAAGTATCAATTTGAGATTGCATTTCCAGACAAGGAATGATATTGTAAATCCCCTTTCCTTTACCTATTGAGTTACTGAGCATGCAGACACATTATCAATAGTCACTGAAGGCAGGGTGATGAAAGCAATAAGAATCATAGAATTACAGAGAATCAGCCCTGGAAGGGATCTCCAGAGGTCTTCTAAAGAAATATTTCTGATTGCCTAGTGCCAGGACTCCCACAGCATGATGGCTAACCCCTCAGGGAGTTGAGAAGAGGGATTCATGATCTGATGTAGAGCAGAGAAGTGCATTTTCTTGCGTGTGTCAGTCATGTTGAGTCCAAGGCTACAGAGCGTCTAAAAGAGTAGCCAGAGCAGCTCTGCTTCTGAGTATGTACAAGGACAGTATTCCCCCAAGATGATTCATACTTTCATGGCAGACTTCATGTGAATTAAGGTTGGGGATGAAGAACACATTGCATTTGACTAGTTTTCAGCTGGTGAAGACAGGGCGTAGAGCCATTTTTAGACTGGTGAATGATTCATTGCCTTTTCTTTACCTGCTGGGAGTAGGTTTTTGGCTTTTCACTCCCCCTTTGTGCCCCACTCCCTCCCAGAGTACCAGTAAGTACATTTTGGGAGTTTGAAGTGCCACAGGAGCTTTGACTTTGGGTTGGTGGCATGAGATTTGTACCTGAAAAAGGTGGAATCTGGCCAGCCTTCGTTATGCCATTCACACTATGAAATCTAAATGGGTAAATAAAGGCCTATTTCTCCTTCTAGTTACCTCAGTGAAAACCAAAACCAATTTCACTGGAGCCATTGCAAGCAGTATGAGGCCTCTTGTAATTAGTGGAAAGCTCCAAGGAAGGGTAAGGGTGTGTGTGTGTGTGTGTGTGTGTGTGTGTGTGTGTATACACATACGTTAATGCATGTGTGCATACATGCATTAATGCAAGTGTGTGCTCTCTCTCTCTCTCTCTCTCTCTCTCTCTCTCTCTATATATATATAGCCTATATATACACACACACACACACATGTATATATATATATATATATGTATATATATGTATACAGAGCACACACTTGCTCATCTAGAAGCCCAAGGATTTCTTTGTATCACTAAATCCCAGCATGCTCGTGTGTGAATAAACTCTTAAATGTTCTCCTTCACAGACTAACTTCACGATGCTTGTTATAGCTGTACCCACACTAGTTTACATCTTGCTGATGCTGGAGCTGGTATTTTCCACAAGCTCTTTCCTTGGCTTTTTGACCACCATTTTCTAAATGGGTCCAGATGGAGGGGAGGGTAGTGTGCATAACCTGTATGAAACAAAAGATGTTGGGGGCAGAATTAGTCGAGTCATTATTGACTCCAAGATGAACATGAGCCGCCAATGCCAGACCACAGCCAGCAAGGCCAGCCATACCTTGTCATGCATCCTAAGGTGCATCTCAAGCTGGTCCAGACAGGTAATACTCCCTTTCTATGCGACATTGGTCAGGCCGCAGTTGGAGTACTGCATCCAGTACTGGGTGCTGCACTTCAAAAGGGATGCGGCCAGCCTGGAGAGAGTTCAGAGGAGGGCCACCCGCTTGGTGAGAGGGCAGCAGGACAGGCCTTATGAGGAGAGACTGAAGGACCTGACCCTGTTCAGCCTCAGCAAGAGGAGGCTGAGGGGGACCGGGTGGCTGCCTACAAGCTCATCAGGGGAGATCAATAGCAAATAGGCAGAGCCCTTTTCTCCCCAGCACCACTTGGGGTGACGAGGAACAGTGGTAATAAGCTGATGGAGAATAGGTTTAGGTTTGAGATCAGGAGGCAATATTTTACAGTTAGGGTGGCCAAAATCTGGAACCAACTTCCCAGGGAAGTGGTCCTTGCCCCTACCTTGGGCAAATTCAAGAGGAGGTTGGATGATCGCCTGTCTGGGGTCTTGTGAACCCAGCATTCATTCCTGCCTGTGGCAGGGGGTCAGGCTAGGTGATCTGTTCAGGTCCTGCCTGACCCTAGCTACTATGAAACATGGGCCGGATTGAGCCCACAGCGGACTCCATTTTCCAGCAACTCCTGCCCATGTCACTGCGGCTAGTTTCCATGGAGACCCCAGCAGTGGTGGGTCTATGACAGCATGGGGTCAGGGTTTCCATGGAGATTGGCCCAAGCAGAGCTGGCAGGGTTCTGCAGCTGGGTGGGGAGCTGCTCCAGGGCCAGGATCTTTTGGCAGTGTCAGCATGGTCCAGTGCTGGGGCAGATTTATAATCTGCTGCCCACGTGCCCTGGGCAGGAGCATGCAGACAGTGGATCTTGGCTCTGCCCCAGCTCTGAACCATGTTGTCACCACCACAAAATCCCAGTCCCAGCCCTGGAGCATCTCCCTGCCCAGCCAGTGCTGCTAGGGCCAGTCTCCATGGAAACCCTGGCCTTGCAGTGTCAACCACTGTTGAGGTCTCCATGGAAACTGGTTGCAGCAACGTGGGCAGGGGCTGCTGGGAAATGGAGTCTGGCTGCCAGCTGGATCCACCATTTTGCCCACCTCTCTGCTAGGCTCTTCAGCCACCTGCAGTTTAGGGGGAATAGTAGGAGACCTGGGGGAATTAAAGGCAAGGGAGAATGTTGGGTGGGGGCTTGAAGGAGATGGCATGTATCTTAGAATAAGGGGCACAATGAGGGACAGTTTCCCTGTTACTTCCAATCTCCCTGGCGCACTTCATGGAGGTGCACACTGGAGCACTGGTAAAGGTGGCCATGACTGTGCAGTCTGGGTTCTGGGCTAGTGGCAGATCCCTCCCCAAGGCTAGAAGTATCGATCCATAGTGGGGGCTTCAGCTCTGGTCAACCTCTTATGTAGTTCAGTGCTTGGTGGAAAGCACGCACATCTTCATTTCTCACTCAGAGATCAGACTGGCTTATGCTGCTTGTCACAGAGAGGATTGGTAGAAAACCATTTTGGGATGTTATGATGGGTCCCTCTCTTCCAGCCAGCCTTCTGACCCCTTCCCTCTCATGGGAAACATGAACTATGGCAACTCTTGGTGAGAGACAAATTTCTGCAACATTCCTAACTTTCTTAGGAACCTATGTACTGTATCCATCTAAGGTGACCCAGCTCCTTGACTTCTTATGCAATCTCCTAGCTGTCCCGTTACCTCCTGTAGAAAGGTCAAAGATAATAAAAACACTGTTCCCCCCACCCACACTTTAGTTTTGAAATAAATCTCCTGTCTGCCTGTTTCTGAAGGCACAGATGACTTAAGCCAAATTGCATTTTGAGCCGTTATCCTCACACTTCTGTTTTATTTATGCTGTCGTGTCTTGTGGTAACACTTTGTGAAATATTTATTTGCTCCTGTTCTCTTTCAGCTCAGCTCAAGATTCATGAGGCTCCTGCATTACATCACAATTCCAGGCAGCTGCATTATATCAAGAAAGGAGAAAATAAAGACCCTGATCTGTGTTTTACATTATAACGATATACTGCATATTGCTATAGCTAATGCTTTTCAATACACAGATGTTCTGTTTGCATATATCAGGGGCTCTGAGCATATTATAGTAATTAAATATGCAAACAATAAAGAACATATTATTGCACAGACACAAGAAACTAACATGTTTCCTAGAAAGCCTTCCCAACTTGCCATTCCTTGACAGATTTCAAGGGAATTTAGGCACCTGGTAGCATGTCCAGAAAGTCACTGAAATTCCTTAAATGGCAGAGCAGCAGGGAGAAATCCCAGATCGTGGTGTTGGATAGACTAGAGGCTCTGAACCCCTGACACCATCTTGCTAAGGCTTTGGCAAAACCTTGGCTCAACAAAGCCTCAGATAGCAGGCCTTTTCCCCCTTAATCTCCCCTTAGTTTAACAAGGTCTCAGCTTCTAACTAGGTTCCCCTGTTTCTTCTTCCTTCCTGGAAGGTGACCAGGCTCAGCTGGGCTGCCAAAAATATAATGAGCTGGGAGTTTCAAGGCCCTTGCATGTGACACCTGGAAGGTAAATCAAGTGACACGTCTTCCAAGAAGACGGAGGTTTGTAAGAAGGTTCCATACCGAGGGGACAATTAAATGGTGCACATACTGAAGTCATCAACTAGGTTACACCTACATGGATCTCTGGTTACTGTCTAATTGGGTTCTATAGTCATTTAGTGTATCACATGGGTAAATAACATGTGACTATTATCACACTTTGAACATGTACTCTTGTGCACTTTCCTTCTGCCAGCCAGTTTAATCAGCCAGCTAACAATGGCTCTCTCATTTTATATTCACTGGGCGTGTCTACATGTCGCCATGGTTTAGTACTTCTTATTGGGAGTACTAAAGCATGGCGCAGTTTGGGTGGTTACTGTGCTGTGTGACTAGTGCACGGTTAGATTTTGCCACTATAACCAGGTAGCACATTGCAATAGCGATGTAGCTGGTGATCACGTATAAGATCCGCATGATCACTAGGTAGTGTGCTGTACAGTGACGTAGCACATTGCTACATTGCCGTAGGGCGACATGTAGACATGCCCACTGTGACATCTCTTAAAGGTGGTGACAGGAGCTGATTAGAAACTCGCCTGACCGGAAGAAGAACTCTATATAATCCTTGAGCCACCCTGCCACCACCCCCCAGGAGCTTAAAAGTAATGCTCGAGTTTGTCCTCATCAGCCAAATGAAACACAAGAACAGGCAACCTCTAACTGGTGGTTCTGATACAATCTAATGCAACTCTTGAAAGGTCAATATAATCATTTGGAATTGTACCCCAGAGTGAATAAGGAGCCTATGTAATCTTTGGAATAATAGTCCAGCAGTCTAGCCCTGGGAGCCATGAAGGGAGGAGCTCCTGGCAGCAGAACAACAGGCCTCCTGAACTGACATAAGCAATTCTGTTGGCTTGGGAACAGAGGAGAGTTACCTGGGGAAGAGAGAGAGGCTTGTTTATTCAGGCAGGTGGCCTTTATTTTATGTTAAGCAAAGAGAGGGTTTTGCGTGTCTGCCAGAGGGCATAAGTGTTTTATCAAGATGCACTGGTGGTTTTGCTTTGAGCCCTCCAGGCCTTCTCAGGGAACCAGTAGCCCAGGAGGAGCTGAGGGTGAGACCCAAGGGTCTGAGCCCAGAGGAGGGGCTGTAGCCAGAGGTTGCCAAGGCTGGGGAGCCTGGCGAACCCAACTGGCCAAGGAGGGGTCAAAGAGAGGGGTTCAGGAGGGGTCAAAGTTCCAGGAAAGGCCACTGCTAGAGACTGAGCCCAGGGAACAAGTCAGGCCAAGGAGCCTGGGGTCTCAACTGACCTGAGAGCAGGGTCAGAGACAGGAGGGGCTAAAGGCTAAGGAGGGATCACAGTTAGGGACTGCCAGAGGAGAGGAGCATGGAGATCTCAGCTGGCCCTGGAGAGGGACCATGGTTAGAGATGGATAGGGTCCAGGACCCACAGATAGGGAGGCTGGAGTCTAGAAGCCAAGTCCAGTACTGTGGCCCTAGGCTAAAAGGTCCAATGAAAGCGTAAGGGGAAGAGGCTGATAAGGCCAAGACCCCTATGAAGTAAATAATGGTACAATAACATCTGTAAGGGATGGGGTGTGGTGTAGGGTAAGACAGAGCCACACAATAAGCCCTTAAAGCTACAAGAGCCCTGCAGAGGCACAGATGGGCTGAGAGAGCCTATTAACCTTGAAGGCCGAATCTAGACTAGTGGAGTCCAGGAGGGATTTGATTGCGACTTGTGACTAAGGCTCACGGGCAGCCTTCCTTTCTTAATCTCCAATAAGAATAAGGCATGGAAGGCGAGTAATCAGGGGAGGGCTCATTAGAGACTGAGCCAGGCAGGAGCTGCATGGCCACCAGAGCTCATCACGACTGTCTTGTGGCTTGGACCTGCCAGAGAAAGGTTGTATGTCAGAAGAAATGGCTAGTTGAGCAAGACTTTTAAAAAGTGGTTTCCTTGAGGGGAGTGGGTGTATTTTCTTTGCCTCTCAAGAAGGCAGAGATATTTGTCTGTTCTTGACTGTAGTGATCCAAGAAGAACAAAAATCTCACTCAGATCATAGCTTATCCATAAAGCTTCTCCCTCCCCCCAGTGCAAATAGAGTTTTTCTTGGATCAAAAATGAGGAAAGAGAGGCTGCCTTTGTTGAACCAAGATGCATTCTGGCCTCTTTATTGTTTAAGGGATATAGGTAAGGATGTGGTATGTGAGCAGGGAGGATCAAAGGTTCCTGCAAGAGAAAATCTGTCTTAGCATTTAAACCTCAGTTCAGATTTCCATAACAACAATATGCTGCTTACGACCATAGGTTATGCCATTTGTTTGGTCAGGCCAACAGTAATCAATAGTTCATATAGTCAGATGGTCCTTTGGTGGCCAGGACAGAATGACCAGGTGACTCTCAATTCATTTCCTAATTGACAAGCTTATCCACATGATCAAAAATAATGGTCATTGACAGTGGACTGTCTGCACCCCAAGAAGCAGTCTTCTGCGGTGCTCTGCCTGCACACTTTGGGAAGATTTTACTATTGTTGTCTGGGCTTGCTTGTCAATGTGACACCTTCCAGATGAGCCTAAATCCAATTATGAAGGAAAAAAAATTAGGCAGGAAAATACCTGCTGCTGTTGCCACTTCTTGCAGAATTTCCCCAACAAGCTGCTTCTGGTGTTGGCTTTTAAGTGACATTTACTGTGTAAATGACACTGACATTTGGATGAGATCCTGGCTTTTTGCACAGGGTTGCTGATTTCTCCTGAGGTTCCCTTGGAACGAGCCCACAAGTGAAAGGCTGTGACTGTTGTAAAAGGCACACCTCTCTACAGTCTGCTGGACAGAAGAACATGCCTAGAGTGGAAGGGGCCATGAGCTTGTCTTCATTGTATTGCATCCAGGGGGACACTACTAAGGAGTAGTTGGTGCCTGTGTTTCCATAGCAGGTCACAGTGACCCAAGGCCTTAGACTGAGCCTCCTTTGACTCTCTTGCCCACCTTGCATCCACAGAGGGACAAGCACAATCCAGTAGGTAGCCAAGGACCAGACTTTTATACAGTGCTGAGCCTTTAGTGAGAAAAAGTAGTAATGTTGTGCGAAACAATTCAATAACCATGACATCAAATTGCTCCTTAAAGGGACAGGGACTTGCACCTAACAAATCAATTGTTTCACTGGGTGTTTGCTGTGGAGCTGGAACCGTCATCCCCAGAGTTCCTAAAATTTTAGGCAATAAAGCAGTATTGGTAGCTCTAAGGAGAGAGTTTGTAAGGCACAAGTGAGAGTTAGTGGCCTACTTCCCATTGACTTTCATCAAGAATTGGCTGCCTTGCTGCTCATTGCGCCTTCAGAAATCTCCCTAGTCTGTGTAATCTCTTTAACCCCCTTTTAATTAGTTTGTCTTCCTGGAATGAGGAACCAAGAAGCTGTGTTGAAGGATTACTGCTGTATCTAACAGCTGCTAGGATAGACCAGTTCATATTAGCAGAGCACAACTTTGGTGAGAGGCACCAGACTGAGATAAGCATTGAATCAGACCTATGTGTTTGGTTCAAGTACTGGTCCATGTACAGGCATGAAGTTATTAACTATCCTGTCCCTTCTTGCGCACACTGTCCCAGGGCAGCATGTGCTTATTATACAGAGTGGTGCAGTAAACTTATGCACTAGAAAACTTGTGGAAAGTGAATGCTCGAGGGGCATGATCACAGTGAAAATCAGTTGTCTCAAATTCAGATGAATATCCATAAAACGTGTAGTTGGGTGAATGTGAATGTGTCCAAATGGTGGTGTTTGGAGGTATAACGGCCCATCTACAGTCGCGGACCCTTACAATTCCAAGGACACTGTTCACAGGTAGAGACTTTTGAATAAGCATGATGAGTTCTCCATTGAAATGCAGTGTGCAAAAAGAGTAACATTTTAAAACGTAAGGACCTCATTGGACAAGAAACCTGCTCAGCTAAGAATAGGCTTGGCTAAGTGAAATCTGAACTTCACTGTCTGTATCTTGCCTGCCTTGAACCTTTGAAAGATGATGTTGCTTTTAAAGTGACACCTATACATTATAACACTTCTTTGAGTTCAACATATATACAGTGAAGGCCTTGGGTCATGTTAATGCCTGAGGTAACTTCATTGTCCTCAAGGAAATGATGTCACATGGATTTGGCAGATGTATGCCCCATGCTACCTTGCTGTTACCTACAAAGAATCCCTCATTGCAATATTAATAT